GGGAGCCCGATGCGGGACTCGATCCCGGGACTCCAGGATCATGACCTAAGCCGAAGGCAGTCGCTTAACCAACTGAGCCACCCAGGCGCCCCTAAATAACAGTTTTTAAGGCCTTACATTTAGAAATCGTAAGGGACTATATTATAGATAGATGTCTGTGGGGATAGTTTATCATTTTCTCTCCCTGAAAAAGAATGCGGCTGCTCATTTTATTCCCACCTCTCCAAAAGTACATGAGAATGCCGTTTATTCAAATTCTTACCTCATACTGTATAACCGTAGTTATAAATGTTTTGATGTGGTCAAATTTAAGAATTACAGTCAGCCTATTGTATCTTTAATTACACAGGAATTTAAATTCAAGAAAAAAATTATATTTATATTGTGTCTTACATTATGAAATAAGGCTAGAGCAAATTAATATTGTGAATAGGGAAATTTTTTATTGAATAGGTATGAAACCCAGTAAACTCTTGAGCAGTTTGTATTTTTTAAAAGTGTGTGCATTATAAAGATGACTTAACTATGCTTTTTTCCCTTTGTCTCACCATCAGTGTTTCTATACTTTCTTAGAAATAATAGCCCTCATGCTATTTTTTTAAGTAGGCTCCATATGGGGTTTGAACTCATGACCCTGAGATCAAGATCTGAGCTGAGATCAAGAGTTGGACTTTTAACCCCCTAAGCCACCCAGGCACCCCAGCCCTCATACTATTTTTTAATATCATGCTCACCATCCTGTACCTGGCACAGTGCCTGGCAGAGTAGACATAGTTATTTTTGTGTAAATGAAGGAATGACTTCTGACAGATTGGTTAGATGTTTCCTTTATGATACATTAGGTTTTAAAGCATATTCTAATTGTGTTGAGATGGAAAAGACACTTAATATATTCTCAAAACCCTTTTTAATATAGAATTAAAATAGGTGACACTTCTAAGCCCATTTAAGTTTGACAAAATTGGGTGTGAGAAGCTGGTATAGATTGGTGAATTAACTTTCCAGTTGCTCTTAATAGTACATGGATATTGCATTATTGTAGTCCATAAAATTTTATTTCCTAAGTGCCTTCTCTACTGCTTAAGCAGCCATACCCCAAAATGTTGCTTCATAGTAGATTTCCTTTCAACAGAGAATTGTAATATTAACTGGATGGCATAATATCCCAAATTTATTCATTGCTTGATAAGTTATTTGCTTTCTATTTTGTAATCTTCTAAGAATTACTCCTCTTTCGGGGCGCCTGGGTGGCTCAGATGGTTAAGCGTCTGCCTTCGGCTCAGGTCATGATCTCAGGGTCCTGGGATCGAGTCCCGCATCGGGCTCCCTGCTCCTTGGGAGCCAGCTTCTCGCTCTGCCTCTCTCTCTCTCTCATGAATAAATAAATAAAATCTTTAAAAAAAAAAAAAAAAAGAATTACTCCTCTGTAGTCTTTGGTACTCTGCCATCAGAATTTCGAGATTTAAAAGGCAGGAGGAAAACAGATACAAGTAAAAGAAAAAAAATGTACTGAGCTATGACTGAGTTGGAGGTAGGCTGAAATACCTCAATTCCTTAATTATAAAGAGCTACCTTTATATGTAGGATCTATATATAGGATCCCCTGGCTTTTTAGTAAGGTGTGATCTGGTCAAATGTTTTTTTTTAACAGTGCATTAAATTTTGCCCTTAACTTCTAGTTTAAAGTTGGAAATTTCTTCCTTGACTGTAAATAACCTCCAGTAGAATTCATGGAAAACTTAGGTTCTAAAGCATTTTAGGCTCTCTGCTAGACTTTGGTTTCTGTTTTATTTTTGAATACTGAAAACATTCCCTCAACTATTGGATTTCATTTCCTAACAAATATGTATGGAATGCTTAGTGTGTGCACCTATTGAACTAGGTGTTAGCATATAGTTATGAGCAAAACAGATGGCAGTCTCTGGCCTGATGGAATTTACAGTCTAGTGAAACGGAGCATTGTGAACATGCAACAAATAATCATGTAACTAATGTATTACTAGTGATAGTAATATAAAGAAATACAACAGAGGCTATCAGAGAATTCAACTGGGGAACTTAATTTAGATCTGATAGTTAGGGAACATTTCTCTGAGAAAGTTACATATAAACAGGGACCTGAAGAATTGAGTAAGAGTTATCCTGGTGGAAAATTGGGTGAGGAACCTTCAGAAACAACATGTACAGCATGGACCTGAGGCAGGAAAAGTGCTTGATAGGTTTGAGAAACTGATAAAAAGGCAAGTGTACTTGGAACATGCTTCAGAATGGGAGAGATGGAGAGCAGAGCAGTTTTATTGTTTATATTTACCTTCAATTTCTGTGAGTGATAGGAATGATTTGATGGAGACGTTGACGTTGGAGAAACAGTTTGAATTCTTGCTCTGCCATTTTTTATTACCTATGTGGTCACAGTCATGGGCATATGACACATTCTCTGACATCAGTTTCATCATCTGTGAAGTAAGGATATTAATCCCCATCACAGACATGTGTTCAGTAAAGGTTTGTTTGTTCATTCATGTAACAAATCCCTGTTATGAGGGAAATTAAAATGATCCATCCATTATATTAAGATTATTTAAGATTTTTAGTATATATATTTTTGGCATTTTATATACATTCATGTCTACAGTTTGATTTTCTTTCATATTATTTTCTAGGAAGGAGGAGTCAGTGGTTTTCTCCATGCTTTTATTGCTGAAGTGTTTGCAATGGTGAGAGCTCATGTTGCTGCATTAGGAGGGAATGCTGTTGTCTCCTACATAATGAAGCAGTGTGTCTTCATGGAGAATCCAAATAAAAACCAGGTGAGATGTAGTCAAAAACTTCTTTTGGGGGAACCTGAGGATTTCCCTCCCCTATGGCTTTCCCATCTCCCACCCTCTCCCTAACCTCCACCAAAGAAAATTGCTCTTCAGAACTTTTTGTTTCTAGATGCTTGAAACATGTTTTAACAAATATATTAATAACCATGGTCATATATAGATCAGATGCTGTTTTCACATCTGGGTATTCTTAAATACCTCTGGAAGTTTAGCTCCTAAGTTACTGTGAGAGACAACCTTTAGTTTGGACTATGATCTGTCTAGTTCTAATCGCCATAGTGGTACGTAGTGGTACGTCCCGATTATTATCCCTAATAAATACTTCTGTTAGTGGGGGCAAAGAATTGTTGCTTAGGATTAATTTTAGAATAAATTCCTTTTATCAGTATTGTTCATATAATAGCTCACTTAGAATTGTTAAAGTTTCCTTTAAAAAATTTAATTCTATCAGTGGGGTTTTTTTGAGTTTCCTTTCTTGTGAGTTGCCTTCCTTTTTTTCCCTTTGTTCATTTTTCTGTTGGGTTGTCTATCTTTTCCAAGTGACTTAAAAGCCTGTGCTTTTTCAGCTATGTAGCACTGGCCCTAAAATAACAGAAAATTATGAGCAGATTGTTGGGTTGGTGATTGAACATTTCCTGTTGTTTGTATAGGCACAGTGTCTTATAAATGTGAGTGGTGATGCAGTGGTTTTTGTTCGTGAATCTGAATTAGAAGTGGTGTCAACTCAGCAGCCTACTACCAACTGCCTCCCATCATGTGCTGGAGGAGAAGTTACAACCTGAAGTAAATCAGAAAGAGCTCAACTCAATGAAATCCATCTGTCTCCATTGTTTTGTCTTTAATTATCTTACTGGACTTTTAAAAATGAACTTAATTTGAGATAATTAAGAAAGAATTGGTACATTATGGGTAGATTTGATTTATCTGGAATCTCTTGGAGGCATGAGAATTCTCAAATCCTGATGTTTTGTTTGCCAGTCCTAGTCAGGCCCCATGGAATCTTGACTCCTCACTAAGTTCAGATAGATTTCTCAGAGAACTGTAGCAGAGATGGAAGTTATTGGTAATTTATGTTGACTTAAATAAAATCATACTTAGAAATAAAATGGTCAAATTATCAAAATTATAATAGCTATCCTAGTGTAATTGAGAGAAACTAAGAAATTTACAAATTGTCAATGAATAAAAAAATCTGATTTGAGGAATGTGTGAGAAAATGCAGAAAAGTTTGAGAACACTATGTGGGTTTCCTAATATGTTTTATTTTGAGAACAACTGAATTTGGAATTTGGTAACAACCGAAAGGAAGAGTGCTTCAGCCATCTTTTAAAAAGAAGTTAAAATTCTGCAACTTGTATCCATAATGTGTCCTAACTACTGTAAAAGAAAAAGTAATTTATTAGAGCCAGTGTCCTTCCATTGAAAGTTCTAATAATGTCTGTAAGGAGGGAGGAAAAAACTATGTAATTTTGTAACTCGCCAAATTTTATTAGTGCTTAATTTGTCTAGAAGAGGCTTGGCTTCAACTGGAAGGAAAAGGTCAGTGAATTTTGTTGAAGTAGTTAAGGTATAATTGATCTAGTAGGAGCATAAAATTATTTCTGATAGAATCATACTGCACTCCTACCAAATAAACAGAATTATATCTTAGGGATTTTTGATGGTGAGTTAGATTGTATTTGGCATAGAATTTGGAAATGTAACTTGAATGTAAGTATGCTGCAAAGTGTTGAATGTATACATAGAAATACTTTTTCTGTCAATGCCAAATACCTATTGTAAATGAAGCATACAAAGTACATTCCTCCTTTGCACAATAAAATTTCTTTATAAAACTTATGGTTTTGCTCTTTCAGGATAACAAACTACCCTAAAGATTAGGAGTCATTTCCTTGTTATCACAGGTGTCAATATTTTTCTGTATTTTGTTTATAATTTTATTTTTTAAATAAAAAGTTTATAAACTGGAATATTGCTAAATCTCTTTGTTTGCCTCCTTTGTGTAGTGTAGTTCTGCCAGTAGTCTGAAATCACTTTCCATCTGGTCACCTCCATTCATTCCTGCAGTCAGCAAACATCCATTGTGTAGCTACTGTAATCCTTGGGGCACTTTCTCGGTCTTTGGTCGGTAGGTATTCACATTCAACAGCTACTGAATGCCTACTAGATCCCAGGGCATAGTTTGAGGCAGTGAACAAAACACGCTTAGGTTCCTATGATCACGGAGCTTATTTTCAGTGGCCACACAAGTAAATAATTTGTAAAATGTGCTGTGTGTATGTATATATATGTGTGTGTTTATATATATACTATACATACTATTCATATATATGTGGTATATATATGTTTATGTATTGTGTGTGTATATGTATATACACACACTATAACAATTGCTAATGTTAATGTTTACTGAATGCTTACTATATGCCAGGCAGTATAATATATATATATGTATATATATATAATTTTAAAGATTTTAT